CTGCTTGAGGGGACTTGGTTGGCTTCATATACTGGAGTTGACGGTCAATATGAAGCCAGATCTGCTGCTGCAGCAGTAGCGCACACTTGTCTTCAACTGAGAGTGCCTCATATTTAACAGACCACTTGACTTGATGCCACCAGGTGCAGCTTTGTCTCCACCACTTTGACATTGCATGCCACCGCATCATGGTGCCATGCCGATATGGTGAGACCGTTTAAATGTCGAGAGATCGCCACGGCCTAAGGCTGGGCATTATTTATTTTGTTAGTATCACACCGGGCGTGGTCCAAATGCATCTCGAGGCCTGTGTTTCCGCGATAAATTGCTGCACGATCCGGAGACGTTGCCTTTTCAGCTGCGCTTCGATACTTGGGATCTGTAGACCGCCATCAACTCGTTTCTGGTATAGAAACACTTTTGGAAGAAGCTGAAAATGGTTGCTTGCAGGATCGTAGCGGCGGGTCAGCACAAATCTATTCAACAGCGCTTGCCATCGCCGAGTGTGGATACGGGGATGTTCACATGCACTGTGTAGTGCCACAGGCGAGGCAGTATCATGGTGTGTGCCACAAGCAAGCGACCTCGAAGTGTACGCGCACAGCGAGACCACCTACAAAAACCATCAAAGAGTCGTTCTTCTAGATACCGCACTGTCTCCACTTCGACCGGCTGTTGGCTGAAAGAAACACCCATGTATTTGACCGACTCACCCCGCTGTAACGTGCGCATACCAGGAACACGCGGACACGTCGCATTCCGGTTGAGAGCCATTACAGTCGACTTGCTCAGGTTGAGTTTTGCCCCGGACCCTGCACAATATTCTCGAACGAGTTCAAGCTGACCGAGTAGGTCCGTGTTCGAACTACTCAGCAATGTCGAATCATCGACAAAGAAAATACCAGTGGCAGTATCGGAATCGGTCAAGCAGATTCCATACTTCTCGTGCAAGCGTAAATAATTACCGAGCGGTTTGATAACCATCATAAAGAGCAGTGCAGACAAAGGGTCACCTTGCTTGACCCCGCGCGTGGGGTGAAGACCGGGCAGGATGTTGCCATTAATCATTAGACGAGCTTCGGGATCAGTGTAGATTAAACGCACCCACTCAATGAATGAACTACCACATCCCATACGCTCAAGCACACGAAACATGTAATCCCAATTCACACGGTCATATGCTTTCTCAAAGTCGAGGTACGCCACATATGCCTCCATGTCCAGATCTGTAACGAGATCTTGGAGGTCAGACAAAAACTGGACGTGATGATGCATCGAGCGACCCCTGACAAATATCTTCTGATCGGGGTGAATGAGCTTGTCGAGCACCGACTGCAGTCGAAACGTGAGCGTCTTGGATAGTTACTTCAAATCCACGCAGATTAATGCAATCGGTCGGTAGTTAGTTGGACATGCGCGCATTTCTTTCTTGTACAACAGTAATATAGCAGATTGCATTTGTGACTGCGACAATCGACCCACTTGGAGGTGGCGATTGAT